TTCTTTCTTTCTTTCTTTCTTTCTTTCTTTCTTTCTCTCTCTCTCTCTCTCTCTCTCTCTCTCTCTCTCTCTCTCTCTCTCTTTCTTTTTCGAGACAGGGTTTCTCTGTGTAGCTTTGCGCCTTTCATGGATCTTGCTCTGTAGCCCATGCTGGCCTTGAACTCACAGAGATCTGCCTGGCTCTGCCTCCCGAGTGCTGGGATTAAAGGCATGCGCCTCCACCACCCAGCTTAATATTCTTTTCTTATATGTAGTGTTTTGATAATTATGTGGTGAGGGAACTTTTTTTTTTTTTGTCCAGTCTATTTGGTGTTTTGTAATCTTCTTGTCCTTCTTTAGTTTGTGAAAGTTTTCTTCTATGATTTTGTTGAATATATTTTCTTCTCCTTCCTCTATCTCGTTTATTCTTAGTTTTGCTTATTTGATGGTGTCCCAGACTTCCTGGATACTTTGTGTTAAGATTTTGTTGGATTTAACATTTTCTTTGACTGATGAATCTATTTCCTTTATCATAGCCTCTGAACCAGAGATTCTCTCTTCCATCTCTTGTATTCTGTTGGTTATGCTTGCATCTATAGTTCCTGTTCATTTACGCAGATTTTCCATTTCCAGAATTCTCTCATTTCTTTATGTTCTTTATTGCTTCTCTTTCATATTTCAAGTCTCAAACTATTTCCTTCACCTGTTTGATTTTTTTCCCCCTTGGGTTTCTTTAAGCTGTCTATTGATTTCTTCCAATTTTTTGTTTATATTTTCCTCCATTTCTTTAACGTAAGTTTTCATTTACTCTTTAATGGCCTCTATATTTATAAAGTTATTTTTATGGTTGTTTCCCCTTGTTTCATCTGTGTTGGGATGTTCAGATCTTCTGTTGTAGATTCACTAGGTTCTTGTGCTGCCATGTTGATCCATCTGGGTTTGGATAAGAATAGGAACATGTGTTGCTTCTTATGAAGTCTTTGTTGGATGGGTCTTTTGTTCCTTTATTGTTTGTTTCCTTTATTTTCTTTGAGCTTATTGGCCAAGGGTTCTGGTCATTGGCTGGTTGCCAAGTCAAGTAGGGTCGTCTCAGCTGAGGTTTGTGGGGTTTTGGTTACCTAGATCCAATCCAGCCTATTGTCCAGTTCTTCTGGCTAATGTATGCTTTACTTGAGCTTGTGGGGTCTGTTCTACCAACTGGTGTAGGTTTTGCCTGTGGCTGTTCTTCTATCTGGTGTGATTTCGATTGTGCCTATAGGATCTGATGTTGCTGGAGAGGACTCTACACTGGGAGGCTGCTCTTCTTCAAATTCCTTTAGGTGGTGCTTGTGCCTCTAGGGGCTGCTGATTTTGTGGGGGATGATTGACCAAGGGTGGATGATGGGTTCTGTGGTTTGGGAGGTGGAGTGGTTTTAGAGTCCAATGGGTGGCTGTGGCGGTGGAATGGCCTGCCCGCAAGACTCTTACTTGCTGGCTAGCTGCTGCGGTCTTTCATGTAAGCAAAGATCCATAGGATGGCCTTTACCTGGTGGGTTTTTTTTAATGAATATTGAACAAGGTTTGTTAAAGGATTTATTGAATGAACCTATGTAAATGTTTTTTCAAATTCTTCCTATTATTACTACAACATTTTATCCATAAAATACCTTCTTGTATTACACAAGCTAGATTATAGATATTCAGCCCAATAATAAATATGTAGGCTGGGTGGTGGTGGTGCACGCCTTTAATCCCAGCACTCGGGAGGCAGAGCCAGGCGGATCTCTGTGAGTTCGAGGACAGCCTGGGCTACCAAGTGAGCTCCAGGAAAGGCGCAAAGCTACGCAGAGAAACCCTGTCTCGAAAAACAAACAAACAAACAAACAAACAAACAAATAAATAAATAAATAAATAAATATGTAGTTGCTATTTTTTCAAAACCTTGAAACCTTAAAACTTCTATCAAAGACAGGTCTTGGAAAAAGCTATTACTAGAGGTCTTAGTGTTAGCAAGAGGGGATACATTGTTCTTAGCTGTATTGGAAAGGATATATTGGGGGCCAAAAAGATAAATATGAAAGCTGAGTACGTTAAGAATGCATTCATAGGGAAAAAAAAGACAAAAACAATACAAAACTAAAAAAAAAAAAAACACATACACACCACCACCAACAACAAAAACATATCATACTTTAAAACAATCCTGATGTGTATGAAATATAAGAGAAAGCTACAGAACAGAACACAGAAGATGAGAAAAGTGTTATTGTACTAAACTCAGGGAACATAGAGTCTTAGGAATTCTTCTAGGCTTCTATATTTAATGGAGTAATACATCTTCCTATTGGATCTCAAAAAATGCAAATATTTTAATAGCAATCCGAGGAAGACATATGATCTGTTAATAAATCTAGAATGAGGGACAATAAATCTAGAATAAATCTTGAGTTAATAAATCTAGAATAGAGATGAGGAGCAATGGAGATGTTTTAATTTAGTCACTTGGGCCATTCTGGATTCTTTATCCATGGATTTAACCATTGATAATTAGACTGAAGATATTGAGAAGAAAATAAATGTGCTCACCACATATAGTCTTGTTTTCTTTGCCATTATTTCCTAAACTGTACAGTATAACAACTATTTATTTAACACATTGTATGAAGTATTAGAAATAGAGATGATTTAAAGTACAAGGCTCTATGTAGGTTGTACATAAATACTGTGACATTTTATATAATGGGTCTAAATATTTTCCAGGTTTAGTGTCTGTGGGTTCCTATAACCAGTTTCCCACAGACATCTGATGGCAGTGTATTAGCTGGAATAACAGCAGTTGAGTGCTAAGAGAAGTATTGAGGAAGAATGAAGAGATTAAACTAATTCTGGTTTGATCACCTAGATATGCTATTTGTGAAGCTGATCAATACTCTAGAAGAGGAATGCATTTGTCTGCAGATGGATTCTGTCTGCATATAATAAAGTGCTCCAATAAATGAGTGAGCATGTATTGTTCTTGTGGAATCAGTAGAAGATAGTGGTAGTTAGTTAGGTACATTCATAGCAGTGGGGTTCTGGTGAGTTATTTAATAATCTGAATATTGAGAAGAAAGTATAGGATAAGGGCTCTTCTTGGAGTAATAAAAGGAAAATAGGAAAGTTGCCATCCTGAGGTTGACCTCAATGAAGGGG